GATACTTAAAAAACAACCGTCCAACGCTTCCTAGTTTTCAGTGTTTGTCTAAGTAAGATCATTCCACGATGTAAACTATCACCTAATCCTGTTAGACAGGATCATTTAAATACTTATGTGAATATGGTATCTACAATATTTATTCTAAAAGCAAAATATATTAAATTAATTATTAGAATAAGATTTCAAGGCTGCTATGTAGAAATGTTTTTTGACCGATAAACATTTTGTTTAAAAATTCGATTCATAAGAAATGGATCTATAAACTTTAACACAAGGACATCCACAACTAATAGATACAAAAGAATAAACATTTGTAAGATACACCAGAAACGCAAGAAGAGAATATATTTTATAAAGCGCCATGAATAACTAGTTATCGTTGAACGGATTGAAAATTAAAACTAACAGGCTTAATCGGTGTCGAATGTCAAGTTAACGAAGAAAACACCTATTTATCAAGGCTTACATAAAATTCTAGATGGAGAATATTGACAAGAAAAACATTGAAAATTCTTGCTTCTTGGAGATGTTTTTTCCTGTTCAATACTATATAGAATATATTGAATCACATAGTTTCGTTATTCAACTTATTGAGCAAAATTACTAAACTGTTCACCAGAACCTGCTGATCTAGGAATTCTATGTTTAAAATTTCTATAACTGTGAGCTTTTTAAGTGTTTTACCATAGGAAACTAACGGTATTTGTTATGTTGCATTAAATATATATATATATATATATATATATATATATATATATATTACTTACACCTGTTACCCCCAATGGAGCACAGGCCGTCAACCAGTATTCTCCGAACCACTATGTCCTAGGCCTTCCTTTCTAGTTCTATCCAACTTTTGTTCATTCTTCTCATGTCTATCTCCATTTCTCGGCGTAATGTGTTCTTTGGTCTTCCTATTCTTCTTTGGCCTTCAGGATTCCATGCAAGGGCTTGTCTTGTGACGCAGTTGTGTGATTTCCTCAATGTGTGTCCTATCCACTTCCAGCGCTTTTTCCTCATTTCTTCCTCCACTGGAATCTGGTTTGTTCTCTCCCACAGTAGAATGCTGATATATATATATATATATATATTTATATATATATATATATATATATATATATATATGAAGACAACTGTTTGTTTCTGGATGCACTGATATCTATCCCCTAATATTTCAAGAAAGTTACTTAGTAATTGCCTTGTTTCCATTATCTAGATTCCTACACATATATAGTTAGTCCTTAAATATTTGAATAGTTATTTGATCAATAGCATTGGCATATATGTTTCTTTTTCATTATTTTAGAAAGAATTTCTTTCGAAAATTCATAATATGGGAAAATACTTTCTTTTCGCATAGTCGTTCTTTCTCATCAATAGATAGTATGTACTTTATTAGGTATACCTTTCAATAAATTACTAAATGTGTATCATTGGAATTAAATTATAAATCATGGGATTAGGTATGGCGTAAAGATTCAACAATTTACTTAGTGGAAAAAACGAAGTGAAAAATCAGCGCTTTTTTGATCAAAAACATCCAAATAAATTGATCAGTCATCGTGTACTTTTCTTCACAAAAGTAACAATCTTGTTAAAAACAATATTAACCGGAAACATCGTTTCTCTATTACATAAATGAAAATTGTAAGTGAAATTCAAAATTAGCAATTTATCCAATTTGGGATTTGTCAGCTGAATGTAACTGGATCTCAGTGCTAATTCTCACACCGAGATTTCAAACGCCATTGTGTTATCCACTTAGTTACTGAGTCCAGATAGTCCCTGACTTATCTAATGAGGTGGAGTCAAATTCATATGTATTGGTTGTTTGGATTTTCCCATTGATGTTGTAGAATGAAATCGATCAGTCTCTTTTTAAAATAAGTGCATCATGTACAGATTGTCGTTAAATCACAAATATTATAAGCAGAGATTACTGATCACTTGCAGTACACAACAACGATGGGAAGATTCAAATAACCAATACAAATGAATATTGGATAGTTATTGTATTTTAGTTTGCTATCGGGAAATATAACCCAACCCATGTAAAATCTTTATACCTGTCTATAGCTATCACTGAAATCATTAGTATTACCATTGTTCAATGGTTATTTTATTGTTAGACAACGTTTCATCTGACGTGAGTTTCTTAAAATGCATTTGTTTTTCATTTTACAGATAATATCGACTTAAAATAGTTCGTCTTATTATTGAATTTATAGACGCATAATTATTTATCACTACATACATTACAAAATATTTACTTTCTAAATGATTCGCGGCTAATATCAATTTTGTTGATGAATTAAAGAGGTTTGTTCGTTTCATTTTCTTCGACTATAATATCACAATTATTCTACGTCGAATGTATACTCTAAAACATTAATCGCCGAGGAGTTTTCTCTCAGACGAAGCAATGACGAAAAGCAATACATATGACGTTTTTTTAGTTTGTTTGTTAGTTCATTGTTAAATAATCATGAATTGAGGAACAGTTATATACAACGAGCTATTGAAAGTCACGAAATACTGGAAAAGTTATCGCATCCTAGCGAGTTAGCCAATACAAAAACATTATTTCGAAAATCGTTTAACACCTAAATTCGTTGCTATTTTTATGAAAAAATAGACACTAATTCACAAGTTTGACTCAGTGAATTAATGTCAAGGGGTCGGTAATAAAATGTTCTATGGTAAAACCATATCACGTTTATCAAACCGATCAGCAATTATTTAGTTTTTTTCAATACATTACGGTCAGGTCGAAAGCGTTTGATAGTTGTGATATTTACAAGATGAAGTTAACTAGATGTTCAATGTACGTGAACTGTTTTAGAAATGAGTGACCTCAGTTTTTTAATCTTTTTACAATACATGCTTTTGATATGAACTTTCTAATATTTTAATGCTTTTAAGGTTATTCGGTTTTAGGCAAATACCTAACAAAGATATTTGACGCTTTTGTCATTCTGTATACTAACTACACAATAATAAGTATAAAAGCCGCAAGATTAGCTCCTTAAAATATTCTGTCTATAGCTTACATCATTCAACCTTTTGAAACTTTATCCATTATGGCTCGGTCAAATTCCGTAATTACATGTAATTTCACCTTTTTCAGCACATGTAAGACTTTCAAGATTACAGTGTTTACAATTTTTTTTAACAGAAGCTTAAGTAGTAATGGACTAATGAAATAACCATGTCAAATGTAACCGATCTAACTTCTATAGTTAAAATTTAAAAACAGTGCAGAGTATTTCATAAAAATAATTAAAAATTTAGTAATAAATCATCAACATTACCTCCAAACGTAGTTGTAACCCATCTAGGCTTCTATCTAAAAGAACGTTATTTTGGATGTTACAAGAGAAAACCTGTGTAATATATATATAAGCAGAAATCCGGGCAATTATTCATTACGTATTCTGCGTAGTCACATATCCTTTAATGTGTAACTCTTTTACTTTCTATAAAAGTTCGTATCTAAAAGATTTTGTGTGCATGTGACATAATATTATTCTTCAAATCCTATAGTGAAAATCGAATCATTTACCCCTGATGTAGTTAACCAGTCATTTCCTAATTATATTCGAAGCAAAATAATGAAGTCATTTATGTATCTTCTAGCTAAACAGAATAATGATTAACCAGAAAAGCTGACGATTTGTAAGTCTGCGATCGTAATATTGGTTAACAAATAAATGTGAACATTTTCATAATTGTCAGTTCAACTTGTTATCTGTATAATATTCTTCAGGTACATTTGTATAGACTAACAAAATGGATCTTAATGTTAACATTTCAAACATTTATCATAGGTACTACCCACTAATCCGAGTAACCCAGGAAATTAATTAAAGTTAGGTTAATAATCAGTAAATAATTAAGGTTTATGGTAAATTACAAAAATTATCATGTTAATATTAAGGTTGAACTATGATTCATTTTGATATTTGAGGAAATATTCGAAACAGTTTAAATAACGTAAACATTTAAAAATGAACATTCATAAGCAGATTTCAGTCTCAGTGTACCAATAACTATAATACAGACTACATTCAAAGTCTAAAACCTAAATAATCAACCTGTTAGTCAGGAATTATTTAAAAACGTTTTTCATAGAAATGCATAACTATTCAGGTAAGGTTATAAAGAAAAATATTTAAACTTGAGTTATTCGAGTTTACAATCATCATATGGAACGAGAACGTGTTTTATAAAGCGAAACTTTGAAGATCTATAACTTGGGTCGATACTCAGGATTATCTGAAATTTGGACAAAGAAACCTTTGTGGGAGGGTTCCCTAGCTACTGTTAACGTTGCAAATAGTATCACTACCAAGTTTTGATTTGATAATTTTGAATAAATTGAGCATTGAGTAGATTGTTATAAATAAATTAATATATTTGTAATATTCCAATCAGCAGAAAAATTAGATTTTCAGACGTTTCGTGACTCAGTGTAGGCCACTTCTTCAGAGGACGAATAAACAAACTATCATTAATCCAGGTTTAATTAGTACAAAGGAACAACACGAATATTAGGTGATCAATTAAAAAAAACTTATCTGAAGAAGTGGCTTACACTGAGTCACGAAACGTCAGAAAATCTAGTACTATGCATAGTTTAGATCTGGCTCAATAAATAAAATACCAGCTACGATCACCAAATTATGGGTTCACAATCTCTCGTTATTTCAGTAAAATCGATAATACCTCTAGACATTAGGCAATAAGTGTGACTGACAGCCTACAAAATAAATAGAAATATAGCTATTGAAATATTTTAAAATGTGGTACCATTCTACCATTTCTCTATGCTTAATCACTAGAACCAAGTTTTAATTAGTTTCCTGTCGCTATTTGAATATCACATCAGTTTTCCGGAAAACACTGTTTAGTTCTTCTTCTCCTTCATTTAGAAGTTTTTCTTGCTTATTATTTCTTTTACATATTCATCTTGTTTACAGAGAAATAATGTATAATAATAATAAGTTAGATATACACAAAAATTCACAATCCTAATTCAAGTATTATTTCAATATGATTGGTTAAAAAATAAGATAGGATTAAATTACACCCTTTATTGTTTGATGTATAGGATAAATAGGATAAAAAAAATCTAGTTGTGGGCGTTATGTGTATAGCACAAATTAAACACGTTCCATAGAATTCTCTTGATCATACTAGTAAGTAATAAGTAACAACGATAATATGTGACAAAATGGGGACAATAATTTGTTTTTTCTACATTGATAAAACTTTTGAAAATTAATATAGAATCTAATTTAAACTTGAATAGTTCTTTATACATCTTGTATATTCCTTCAAGAAACATTCATTTATCAAATACTTCTTTTCAAGACATCTTAACAAGACTTTTATCATAGTAATTGAAGCATTGAACTGAAAAACAAAATTACCATGGAAATTCGTAAAAGTATTGAAGCTAATTTTCTCACATGTAAACATTGTCATTTACCATATAAACAACCTAAAGCATTAGTATGTCTTCATTCATTTTGTCAATCGTGTCTAGAAGATATTATATCAAAACGTAAAGCAGATGAAGAAGCTAAAGAAATTGAAGCATTAAAACTTTTGTATAAATCATCAAATTCAAATGAATATTCATCTGGTTATCGACGTAAATGGTCATCACGTTTTCGTTATGGTGATTATTCAAATTCATTATATGGTTCTTCACGCTATAATCATACAGTTACAACAAAAGATGATGTAATTACTTGTCCAATATGTCAAAAAGATACGATTGTGCCAACTGGTGGAGTAACAAGTTTACCAGCTGATCAATTAGCTGATAAACTTGCATCTATGGTTGATCGTATGCCTAATTTTCCTGTTTGTGATGTTTGTACTAAAGAACCTTTGTTAACGGATAATCATTTAAATGGGATTAAATCACCACAGTCTACTTTATCAGCACAATTTAAACGAACTCAATATAAAAGTTTTAACAGATATGTTAGTAATGATGATACATTAAGTGATGATAGCGATGCTGATGAAGGAGTATCACTTGACAAATTAAGCATGCAAGATAGCATGGATAATTCAGAAGCATTGAGCCCGCAAACTGCACGTTCCTCTACTCACCTCTATAAAGATAGAAATGAAAAGCATTTACGTAAATCACTTACTTCAGCTTGTAGACGTAATGATTTATCTGGTCCAAGACCTGCTACTTCAGCATGTTTAGAATGTGGAAAGCGATTATGTATCTACTGTCAAGAAGCCCATTCTAGAATGCCAGTTACAACTAATCATGTACTAATACAAGTAGATCAAATGGAACAACTTCGTTGTAATCGACATCCTCGTGAGTTAAGACGATTTTTTTGTTTAACTTGTCGTGCATATATATGCATAATATGTGCTTTTGAAACAGTTACTGATAGTACAGCGTTATCTAAAGAAAGTTCAAATTATACTGGTCATGCTGATCATGACATACTATCTATGCGACAGGCTGTTGCTGCTTATCAAGATCAATTAAATCTTAAAAGTTCTGAAACACAATCACAAATGAATCAGATCGAAGTATTTTTAAATGGCCTACAAATATGTGAAAATGAAATGCGTCAACTACGTACTATGGTGGAAGATACTGCAATGGCATTCATTGATCGTATTCACATACAAAGAGCGAAACTGTGCGAACAAGTTGATAAAATGTTTGGTGTTGAACTAGATCAAATAACAACTGAATGCAATAGATTAACAAGTGCTACAACAGCATGGTATAATTTTATCAACGATGATCGTGTAACCAGTAGACTAGATCTTATGGATCCTATTGAAGCACTAACTGAGGCAGGACCAATGTTAGATCGACTAAATCGTTGTTTACAACTAGCTTCAAGTTCAATATTCACCTGTCCTAATTGGCAGTTATTTTTATCACAACTAGCTATAGCAGAGAATTCTGTTCAAAATACTAATAATAATTTAGTACATATAGAAGAAAAGAACTATGAGAATGCTGACAATAAGATAAACACTAATAATGATGATGAAAATAGTATCAAAGAACATATAATAGAGGATCCACGTATTACATTTTGGCGTGCAAGAATAGGTCATTTTCAATCAGGTGAAGTAAACTTAGGTAGAATAGTTACACCAAATCAATTAATTGCAGAATCAAAAGCAAAAGCTGCACAATTTGTTAATACACATGTACAAACTGGTCCCGAATTAATTAAAACATTACCACCACCAAAAGGTGCATTACTTCATCGTGCTATTCAAGTTGATTTTCTAAATGCTAATTTAGATGATCGAGGCACACAAACAGAATCACCAACTGTAACAAATATATTTAATTTTAAAATTGATGCTGGTACACAATATGTAAGTTCGGATGTAAATCCACCAGTTAGTATTTATCGCTCAATTAAACAAATTTTAGTACAAAAATGATATTCATTTACTTTACACTTATTTCTTCTTTTCTTCTATTCAATGAGTTCAATAGATCATGGTACTTTCTCTAATAATCGTACAATCTAATGTATTTCACGAACCATATAATGCTTCATTACTCTTTAAATTCTTCCCTTAATACAATCTTTCGAATATATATTGCTCACAGTTTAATTTCTTATTATCTAACAAAAAAAGTGTTATATAATTATTCTCATTAATATCAAATGAAATTGCATTTATTCAACTATTACGTAATATAAAAACGTTTACAGTAAAACAAAAAGGATACGTTTTTCACCTTTTACTTCTTCCAGAATAAATATTATTCATGTTGAAATGTTATGAATTCCCTTGAAGGAACTCATATATATTGGTTTTGTATTTCCGAATGGTATTTGTGCCTCTCATTACACCTTTTATATTATTATAATAGAATATATATATAAGTAAAATAAAGATTTGCGATCTATTTAACATTGTTATAAAAAATTGACCTCAATGAGATGGAAACCAAAGATTTTACACATATAAGTGATAGCATAACATTATGATTGAATTACAGGGTTGTTTTCATTTTAGAGAAATAAAATTTTTAGAAATCCCAAATGCTTCATTGTAATTTATTAATTAAGACTCTTCAATGTTATGAAAATTTAAGGAAGAATGAAGCACATTCACTTGGTATCGTTTGTTTGAATCTTTCATTTATTGTTTAGGACTACAATTGATTGGTCTCCTGTTGGTATATATAAATTCTGTGAGGATGGCCTCTATATTGTTGTAAGTCACAAGCTTTATAAGAAAACATGGATAATGGCTAGCAGTGGAATCCAGGACTCACGTTTCTTCCTATTCAGGACTCATCAGCTGGATGGACGTGCATTTCAGAGTTGATATTCACTCCGGGACTTGAACCCATTGCACAAGTAGGTGGCTATCAGGACTCAGTAGCTAAGTGGTTAAAGCGATGGCATTTGAAGTAAATGGTACTGGGTTCGATTAAAATATCAACTCTCGGATGCAAGTAAACTCAGCTGACGAGTCCAAAATAGGCCGAAACGCGTGTTCTGGACTCCAATACCAACCAATATCCATCTTTACCTAGAATGAGGTACAATTTTATTAAATCTATCGTGAAGATTTAATCATTAACTGTTAATTGTTTTTCAGAGCATTAAAAGTATTTTAAATATTACAATGATACAAAAATAACCTTAAAATTATTAAATAATTTAAGTAGAGAATCAAAAAAATAATTATATAGTAACTAAATAGGAATATTATCGAACACTGAATACACTAAATTCATTCTATTCTATCAAATTTTATCAAATCATATATATATATATATATATATATATATATATATAATGATCTCACAAGACAAACCCTCACATGGAATCCTGAAGGTCAAAGGAGAGGAGGAAGACCAAAGAACACATTACGCCGAGAAATGGAGACAGACATGAGAAGAATGAACAAGAACTGGATAGAACTGGAAAAGAAGGCCCAGGACAGAGTTGGTTGGAGAAAGCTGGTCGGCGGCCTATGCTCCATTGGGAGTGACAGGCGTAAGTAAGTAAGTAATATATATTGATCAATTTCCAGTTTATGAAAATCTTTCAAAACTTTAATTCTGATTTAGGACAAAAAAATGTCACAAAAACTAAAATGATCTAAATAACAAAAAAATTGAATTTTTATTTTATTACGAATAATTGATTATTGCACCTTAATTTACTTTTCCATAGTGATTGTTTTTTTCTTTTTTTCAAATCCATGGTATACTGGAAGAAAAAAAAAAGGAGAAATAAAAGAAATACAAAGTTTACTGAAAAATAATATCTAAGTGTAGCTTCATTTCTCTTCTCCTTATTTGCGTATATGAAATTGAATAATATAAATCTTTTTTCGAAATTATAACTCTGTATATAGGTGTTATATCGTGTGCGTGCTTACGTGTGCTCTGTTTGGTATTTGAAGTTATAAGACCGCCAATTACAGAGGAGTAAATTATCGATCAGAGCTATGATACACGAAAGCCAAATCAGTAGTCTTGAGTACTTATCAGTCCTGCTATCCACCTAGCCCGGCCAGTTAAGTCCAGAACACCAATAACAGTCTCTGCAATATGAATCATTATTCTCAAAAGCACTGGGTTTAAATACCAAACAAACTGACCATATCGTACCATAAAATAGTAAATTATATTTGTACAAGATTTAGCCAAATGTGGCTGTGAATAGGGGAACAGTAAATAATGTTCTATGAATAACTCAAGAATGGTAAATCGTATAATAATAGTTCATAGATCGAAATAAAGCTTATAATAAGAGGGACACGAATATGAATGGTTTAGTTACTTAACGATTATACAATAGGAAATATACATATCATATTGGTCCATAAATAGTCCACAAAGTTACCATTCATAATTCTACACGGGATATGACAATAGGAAATCGATTTAATGAATAATCGAAAAAAATATATATATCGGTAAATTTCTTTTGTTTGTTTATTTGGTACCTTTCACCACATATATTGTAAGTATTCTAATGATTTCTAAGTTTGTAGTTGAATAATAAAATTGATTAAATAGAAAATTTACATTAACTTCATAACACACCTTGTAATATTAATTTGTGAATAGAAAATTTATTTAAATATATTTAGAAATTGTTGATTTTTACAGAAATCAGAAGCCTAAAGGCACTTTTGTTTTAATCAATCATAATTATCCTATAATCTTTCATGACAAATATTTTGTATATTACATTAGATATAACTTGAAAATAACAAGTATATTTTCATAAATAAACTCATAGATCTTGTAAGCAAAGATGGATAGTGGTTAGCAATGGAATCCAGGACGCGCTTTTCGTCGTATTCGGGACTCGTCAGGTGGATGTACCTACATATCAGATTTGATGTTCACTCTGGGACTTGAACCCAGTACCTTTCGCTTCAAACACATAGATCATCTTTATTTCTCTTGTAATCTTGTTACATGCATCCATTTAGTTTTTAGAAAGTTAGTGTTACCATTGAAAGTCAGTAGATCAATAGTCAAATGGTTGTTTTCATATTGCAATCAGATATTTATTTTTCAAGCAATTTTATCATGATTTCCAAATCAGAAAATTTCATCTACAGCAACGATTCGAAATCTACTTACAGGTTTATTTCTATCAGCGAAACATCCGATAAGTACATTTTTCCTTAACATAGCTGACAAAATAGTGTACTGATTATGGCATACTTCTTGTTGTATGAGATGGGTAGATGTATCGAAAACTTAAGTTAGTCAATATAAATGACCCAAGTTGTTATTTTTATCTCATTCTTTCCAACCATAGACAATTTCTTTGATGTTGAAAATGTACTAAAGCTCTTTGGCTGACAGATTACAATCTTTACTTATAAAAACGATAGCTTATTTTCATTGAATTCATAAAGTCATTACTGTTGGCAATTTTTGATAAAAGAAGAACCCACTATTTTCCCATTTCTGTACCAATAACATTTAACTCTTCTCTCTACATGATATGTTGCAGGTCAGTCATCTGTGTTGTATGTCTATTGATCACCATAGTCTTTAGATTATATGGTCGGTACATGTTTATTGAACTATAGATTACAAATGTCTATTTATTATCGAAATAGAACAAGTTGTATATCATTCATTTTAATGATGACTTCATTCATTAGATCTATATTATAAAATATTTGTATTTCTGACAAATGTCGATCATCCATAACATTTGTATTGCCCTCATAAAAAACTGAATATGGTGTCACTCAATCTAATTAAGAATATTACTTTTACAAATTATTGGTTACCGCCTTAATAATTATTGAATTTCGAATCATATTTCATACTACACATTATAAGTTGAAGTTTAAAAAAATATTTCTATTTTATGGTTTATTGTTGATACTACATTCGAATATATTTCTACATTTTATACAGTGTAAACGAATTGTTTACATGGAAAACTTTTATTTTAAGAAGCTCAGAAGGTATAATATCACGTTATTTTTTATTTAACATTACCAAAGATGATTCATTATGGTTAAGTCAGAGATTTACATTTCATAAGATGGAAGGAAATAGTCTTGTGGTATATTCGGACATTTTATCTCAGTTTTTTTAGTTACTGGTCAACCCTAATTCTCATTTACCTTATGAAAAATTCATGAACAAACGAAATTATGTAGAAGTCATGAATTGAAGTAATTTATATTACAAATGATTAGTAGATTATAACTGTATGCATTGTAATATGAGAAGTTTGTATTTATACAATACAATGTGAAAAATTGCAACAGTTGGTAGAACATAATAACCTTGAAATGGTTGTATGATTGGTAAATATATGTCATACTTATACAAACATCTGAAGAGACAAATTCAATTGGTATTATTTGTTTGAATCTTCCCGTTTAGAACTGCATTTGATCAGTCTCTTATTGACATATGTGCATACTATGCGTATTGCCTCGATATAGCCTTAATACACAAGCATGGTAAGCAAAGATGGATAGTGGCTAGCAGTGGAATCCAGGACGCGCGTTTTGTCCTATTTTGGACTCGTCAGCTGGATGTACCTGCATCTCAGAGTTGATGTTGGAGCGAAAGGTACTGGGTTTGAGCCCCAGAGTGAACATAAACTCTGAGATGTAGGTACATCCGGCTGACGAATCCCAAATAGGACAACACGCGCGTCCTGGATTCCAATGCTAGCCACTATCCATCTTTGCTTATAACCTGAAGAAACAAATGTTAACAAAATGCAACTTTAACAAAACACCTAAGCAAATTTACATTAAGTTTCTTATGACAAAATTAGAATATATCATCAATCAAATATTTCAAATGAATTATTTAAATGAGAGATGAAGAGTATTTGTTTTTCCTTCTAAATGGTAGTTATTGATATCACACTGACTAAAAATGTACCTGAGGGGAAAGATAATAGAACATTATTTGTAAATATTTACAACTAAAATTAACAATATTGAAGCATGTATTGAATTTACTCTAGTTTAGATCAGTTATAAAACTGAATAGGAAAAGATAGTTTGTATCTTCATTGTGAAATCTCTGTTAATGAGAAATGTTTGATGACGTTTATAAAGTGTTTAACAATGTCGGACTAAATGAGCTCATAGTCATCTATTAAAACCTACTATTATCATTCACTGAAGCCAAACACATGCGAGCACTTAACCCTCATTCACTAGACTTGGTATTATTAAATATGAACCATAAATTCCTTTTTTATAACAGGCCAATAACAATCGGCGATGAGCAAATCGAAAATCCTGACTTTCCTGTTGTTTTGTAAGCATATTCAGACAGTGATGTGAATGATCTCCGAACGAGATCCACAAAAGCCAATTTAGTGATTAATTGAATTCATTTATTAACAAAAAGACGGGTACTCTTTTTATATTTCTATATA